AACCAATGGACTATGGAAAAATGTTGTAGATCACAACGAGTTCATGGAAATTACCTTGGCTGCCAAGCAAACCATGACTGTACCGACTAAGACGGTTCGACTTACTTTGTACATGGATGATTTCAAGCCATACACGAATGACTTCCTCGTTATTGATGTACCTGAAGAGCAGGATCTTCTGCTAGGTATGCCATGGCTGAAAACCGTGAATCCCGATATTGACTGGGTGAATGAACGTGTGAAGCCTCGTGTGCTGGAAGAGACGGTAGGGCTGGCTAGCCCGACCGGGAAAAAGAAACCCAAGAAAAAATTAAAGACACCTCACAAACCTGAGCAACCTGTGGGGAAAATCGGAGGTCAACGACAACGTGTATCACCGCAGAAGAAAAAGGATCAGACCAGTGACTACTATAAGAACGGATATTATTCTGCCACTTCGGGTACCACGAAATATATCACATCGAAACAATTTCGGCGCATTCTACGAAAACCTAAAGACATCGAGTGCATCTTTGTAATCCGACCAAAAACTGAAAAAGAAAGCGGCGAAGTGTCTGAAATCGTTGATATAGAAACTTTTCGTAGTCACCCGGTCTATCCAGTACTTGTGAAGCATAAAGCTGTATTTAAACAGAAACTGCCGTCGTGTTTACCAGCACGAGAGCATGGCGAACATGTTATGGAGGTGGACACCAAGGAAGCGATATTTCGTCGGCAGTGGAGACAGTCTCCGGGCCAGGAAAAGGTTATTATGGACTGGACTCGTGAAATGCGCGGCGCCGGATTAATTCGCCCTTCCACGTCACCTCATGGAGCGCCCACATTCTGCGTAAAAAAACCGGTCGGCTGGAGAATAGTTCATGATTATCGTGCGATGAACTCGCACACAGTGCGACGAACTCTGCCGATGCCAAGAAAAGACACTATCATCGAGAAAATGCAAGGAACGTTTTGGTATTCTTGTATGGACTTGTTGAGTGGGTATTATCAATTCCGAATGAGAGACTGTGATATACCGTACACAGCGTTTCAAACCCCGGATGGTGCCTACGAATATTTGGTCTTACCGATGGGTCTATCTAACGCTCCGGCCACCTTCAATGAAGGAATACGCCGTATCTTGACAGACTTAAGTGACATCTGTCAGAGCTATTTCGATGATATCTATGTGTACTCAAGATCCGAAGCTTTGGACGCACATCTGAAGGCACTTGATCGCGTGCTTACACGACTTGAAGAACATAAATTTTACGTGAAACTGAGCAAGTGTGTTTTCTGTGTTGAGGAAATTCCGTGCCTAGGAGATTACGTTGGGCGCAATGGAGTTCGAATCGACCCTAAGAAAGTGAAAATACTTAGTGACTGGCCATTACCTCGCACCCGAAGCGAACTGCAGTCGTTTTTGGGTACTGCTACCTATGTCCAGCGATTTTGTCATGACTTCGCGTCAGATGCCGGTCCGTTGTTCGATACGCTTAAGGGCCCTGCAAAAAGGACAATTATCTGGAATGACAAGTTACGATCGCACTTTCAATCGCTAAAAGAGAAAATTAGCAAAACACCAGTGCTTGCGGTTCCTGATTTTGCAAAACCTTTTGGGTTACGTATGGACGCAAGTGATCACGCAATTGGTGGAGTCCTCTTTCAAGAGGAAGTCAACGATGATGAAATAGTCGAACGACCTGTAGCATTTGGTGGTAGAAAATATAAGGACGCCGAGAAAAATTACTCTATTCGTGAGAAGGAGCTATTGGCGATTCTGTTTGGTCTTCGATTGTGGAGGGTGTATTTACTGGACAAGCCATTCGTTGTCGAGACTGATCATCGTTCTCTCGAAACTGTTTTCACTCAAAAAACAATTTCGCGTCGCGTGGCGCGTTGGTACGATGAACTGAGCGAGTACCCAATCACTTTTCGCTACATTCAAGGAGAAAAAAATACGGTGGCAGATGGAATATCACGCCGCCCTGATTTGGTGCAGGATACAGTGACTCTAGCAGCAGTCTCAACGGTGAAACAAGTCCATAGCCACATTGAACACGGCTTAGCAAGTCTAGCCAAAGAGGCAACCGATCGATATGATGCTGATCCGCTCACAGCGGTACTCGCGCGCCATTTAGATACTCAGGCGACGCCGACGAAGCCTCAAATTCGTCATTTTGAGCGATATAGCAGGCAAAACAAGCAAATTTTCTACCAAGCTCCTAGTGATGAACAGCCTCGTCTAGTTTTACCGAATATTCCAGAGATAATTGATTCGCTGTTATACGAATTTCATGATGCCAAGTGCTATGGTCATCCGGGTGTCGAACGAACACTCCGGCTCGTAGAAAAAGACTACTATTGGCGAAATATGGAGCGTTCCATTCGAGCATACGTTCGATCCTGTGAAGTGTGTCAGAGAACCAAAGCCCGTAATTGTAAACCCCCGGGATTTTTGCGATCTCATTCAATTCCAGCCGCAAGGTGGACGCATCTTGCGATGGATTTTATAGTAGCGCTTCCGGAGACGAAATCAGGCTATGATGCCATCATGGTAGTGATCGATCGGCTAACAAAGCGAGCTCATTTTCTGCCAACGACTACTATTGCAACAACAATGGAGATAGCTCAACAGTATCGGGATCGTATATTCGTGCTACATGGACTTCCTGAAGAGGTCCTATCCGATCGTGATTCGAAGTTCACGTCAGCATTGTGGACAACATTATGTTCCATGCTCGGGACGCGTCAGAAATTGACAACTGCGTTTCGTCAACAAGCAAATGGTATTACAGAGCGAGTGAATCAGACTATCGAGAATTATTTGCGCGCATTTAGCAACAGCACAAGTGATAACTGGGATAAATCCATCTCGCTTGCGGAGTTTGCGTATAATACAAGATATCAGTCGTCAATAGGAATGTCTCCTTTCGAAGCTGACATTGGTTATATGCCCGCAACACCAGCATTACCGAGGACCACGGAATTAACACACCAACCACTCAGTAGTGATGAACCCAAGCTTGCTAACGAGTTTGTGGAACAACAAAAAGATATTTTGGCTCGTGTTCGGCGGCAGCTGCAAGCTGCTCAAGACCGTATGGCCCAATACTATGATCGCAACCGACAAGCCCAAGAATTGGCTGTAGGTGATCAAGTGCTGCTCTCAACTAGCAACTTATCTAATTTTCACGCTGGTACCACAAAGAAAAAGCTGGGACCGAGATGGATAGGCCCATATAGTGTAGCGGAGAGGGTTGGACATGATTATTATCGCCTTGAACTACCAACTGGAGTGAAATTTCATCCCGTGTTTCACACTTCGTTACTGAAGCCATACGTCGCTAGTGATCGACCAGATCAAGAACTTTTTAAGGTTTTGCTGCCAGATGGCACAGAGGGCGAGCATGTGGAGGACATAGTGGGCTATCGTCGCAAGAAAAGCGGGAAAGAGTATCACGTCAAATGGCTCGGTCAATCAAAGCTGACCTGGGAGCCGGAAGAGAACTTGAAGTACGTCAGAGGTTTGATTACTCGATACCACCAGCGCCAACGAAACAAAACGAAATGAAATAACCGATCAAGGGCGGGTGGTCTACTCTTGGAGAAGGGCATGTCGCGGGTTCAAGTCCAGGATAGTGGCCTGAGCCACCAGGACGATACTCGTAGCGCTAATTAAGATGCCGAATGAGAGGAGAAGCATGCCACATGATAGGAATGACCAGTGAAGTCCGCGATGAGCGTTGATGGAGCTTGTAGTCGAGGAAACGAGTATGGCCAATGCCATGCGTGCATTTTATTATGACTTAGCTTTACTATAGGGACTAGTAGGGTACTTACCGTTGAAGTGCGAGCCAGCACGGCGACTCAAGACCACAGTCTTAAATATACCAACAGGTTAACAGATTGTTTTGCTTCGTACTGCTCTGGCCAAGCAGTGTGTGTTGGCTCTCTGCGACCTCATAGTTCGTGAGCTAGAGGCCACACACTACACTAGCAAGTCTACAAGTATAGCAAGTGTAACAACCACAACAAAAACAGCAAATTCACCAATTACATCAACTCCGTCGTCATATAAGACTCGGCGCCTGCTTCCTCTCAAGTGCTACCATATTCACAGCTTAGCCTGAGCTCCATCGGAGTGAGCTCAGCCTAATACTGCGACAATGTAGTAGAGCAACATTTACGCTTACGAGACTGGCAAGATCCCTCGGAAGCTCAGTGCATTTGCACTGGCGGCAACTACTATCGACTGCATTTA